TTCCTTTTTAATGAGTCACTGAGTTATCTAATTCTTATATCATGCTCTTTTGCCTTAGTTTCTCTCTTTTTTTATGCTTCATTATTCTCCATAAGTTTGTCTTCTATATCGCTGATTCCCTGCTCTGTTTCATCCATCCTTGCTGCCGTGGCATCCATTCAAGATTGCATCTCAGTTATAGCATTTTTAATTTCGTCCTGACTAGATTTTACTTCTTTTATCTCTGCAGAAAGGGATTTTATGCTTTTTTTCAACCCCAGCTAGTATTCTTCTTATTGTGATTCTAAATTCTGGTTCAGACATCTTGCTCCATTCTCCACTAGATGGGCACTTAGTTTACTGGGGTGGATCATTGTGGTGAGTGTACATGTGTATGTGCATGTGTGGGAGAGGTGAAAATGGCATCACCCAGCTACCCAGTCTCTAGTATCAGAACTCTGTGCTCTTGCCAACTGGCAATCAATCACCCCTCCCTTGTCTCCAGCTCCAGTCCACTCCCTGCCTTTACACTTTCCATGACCAAGCCATCAGGCTGCCAGGTGGCACCTCCCTCCCGAGTTTTATCTCAGATGGGGTTGTGTTTCCAAACCCTTCACCTCTGAGGGACCTGCAGCTTTGACCCACTTAGACTGTCTGGGGGAAGGTCTTGCCAAGCAACGGCTGGGTGCCAGCCCATAGCCAGGAACATTCACATGACTGCACTGCTGCAGATGCCAGAGACTATGGCCAGGTGCCAGCCCACCCCAGAAAAAGTTCACTCAATCATGTAGCAGCAGTGTTTCAAGAATTATGGTAGATCACAATACACATCTGGTGCCAGGCTTCACCACCCCTTAACATCCTTGTTCCAACACCAGCAAATATGGCTGTTCTCTGGGGTCCACTGAGACCTTTGCCTGTGGGAAGGCCACATAGCCTCTGCCAAATGTCCTCTCAGCAGAGGAACTGCCTCTTCCTGTGTGGCCCGAGGACCCCTCAGACCTCACTGTCTGCTCCTGGGGATTCACTCTTCCCACCAGAGCTCTGCCAGGTATAGAGCTGTGGAGTTTCAGATTGTGACCCCTGTTTATAGACTCTCAATGGTATTTAAACCCTCTTTTTTCTCCTTTCTCCCCTTCTTGTTAAGTCCCTTATGGGTGTTTCCACTCTTTCTCTTTCTCTCCAGCTGCTTTCGGGGGGAGTGCTTTTCCTGTACTCTCCCCCCATCTCCATCCTCTTTCTGCAAGTAAAAACACCTCTCTACCCTCTGTGGCTTCTCTCTCCCCCAGTTCACCTCTCCACACTGCTTATCTGCTGAGTTCCGTGGTTCAAGTTGTGCAGACTGTTGTGTTAACCTTCATATCAATTTTTTAGGTTGGCCAGATAGTTTGGTGTTGATCTAGCTGCATTTCAGGGATGAGAGAAGCAAAAAGCTTCCATGCTGCTCTGACATCTTGACCCCTCCCCTTCACTTCTTTTTTTCAAATGTTTATTTTGAGAGAGGGAGGAGCAGAGATAGAGGGAAAGAGAGAGAACCCTAAGCAGGCTCCATGCCATCAGTGCAGAGCCTGAATCAGGGCTCAATCTCACCAACTGTGAGATTGTAACCTGAGCCAAAATCAAGAGTTGGACGCTTAACCAACTGAGCCACCCAGGCGCCCCAATTATTTACTCAGAGTTGTATCTAAGATCAGTTTCCTCCTGGTGGAAGTATATTCTGTAGAATTTCCTTCAGTGATCACGTGCTGATGGCAAATTCTGTTTTTGTTTGGTTGAAATGTCTTTATTTCACCTCATCCTTGGAAGATAATTGTGCTGGGGATAGAATTCCAGAAGTGTAGTATTTTCTTTCAGCTCATGAAGGATACAGTCTCCTGTTTTCTGCTGGTGGTCTAATTGCTATTTCCTTGAAGTCAATCAGTCTTTGTCCCCTGGCTGCTTTTGAGCTCTTCTGTTTTGATGTTCTCCAATTCGGTTATGTTACATTTGAGTGTGAATTTATTTTTATTTACTCTGCTTGGAATTCCCTGGTCCCTATAGTTCTGCAGATTAGTGATTTTCACCAGTACTGGAAAATTCTCAGCCATTACTTCTCATGTACCATCTGTGCCCACTTGTTTTCTTTCTTTTCTGGAACTTCAATTTAGATTATTTAAATCTCACTCTGTCCTCCATGTCTCATAACCTTCCTGGCTTGTTTCCCATCTCCATGTCTCCAGGCTGCAATCTGGTTAATCTCTTTTGACGTATCTATTTCACTAATTCCAATAATAGCAGTGTCTAGTTTGCTGTTAAACCTGTGCAGTGTGTTTTAAAAAATTTTTTTAAGTTTATTTTGAGTAGAGAGCAAGCAAGCAGATGGGGGGCAGGGTGCAAGGGAGAAAAGGGGAGGGAGGGAAGGAGGGAGGAAGAAAGAGAGAATTCCAAGCAGGTTACATGCTGTCAGCACAGAGCCCAATGCAGGGCTCGATTCCACGAACAGCAAAATCATGACCTCAGCTGAAATCAAGAGTTGTACACTTAACCAATTGAGCCACCCAGGCGCCCCTGTCTTGTGTGTTTTTAATTTCAATTACTGTATTTCTTTCTAGAAGCTCCTTTAGTTTCTTTTCCAAATCAGCTAGAATACCTTTATAAATTCCTTTTCACTTTTTGTGATCATAATTTCTCATAGATAGGCTTGCCTCCCTCCTCCTCCCTGCTCTCATCAATGACAATGCTGCGATCTTTGCAGACCCTGGAGTTGGTGGGGAGGGGTGGCACATTTACTTCTCACGTACAGCTTCTGTGCTGCGTTGTTATATGGGGTCCTACCTTTATGGGTTGCTCTGAAGGAAGTACGGAAGAAAAACAAGAAGAGGAATTAACCCCCTCCCCGCACTGGCCGGCACACTGCTAGTGGGGCCACCCTCTTCCTCGGGTTGAAACTCTTTTCTATACACAGATTTACAATAGCCTGCAGGCTCTTTGGGTTTTCCTCACAGGGTTTAGGGTGTTAGAGCCTCAGATCCGGACTTCCCTCTGTCTGTCATGGTGTCTCCAGGGTTGATCTCAGAGAGGCAGCCAGTGGCTCATGTGGTTAGCTGTCTTGCTTCCGCATCTTCGTCTGGCAGATGTCTCAACTCTTGGATATCATTAGAGTCATGTCTCAGGTTTATGGGGTCAAAGAGGAGACATGAAGGGTATTTCTGACTTATCTCCCGGGAAGCAGATTTCTTCTTGGCATATATATATTTTTAAATCTGATGTTTCTTTTTCATCCAGTGCTCTGGCTGATGCAGCCACGGGGAAGAAAGTCTTGCACATTCCCTACAGAGATTCTGTCCTGACCAAACTTCTCCAGCCAGCTCTGGGCGGGAACAGCAGAACCACTTTGGTAAAGTGACTTTCTTACAACACAGCAGACTGATTTAGCTATTGTGTTGTTGTCACTGTTATTATTAAAATCACGCTCACTGTACCATGATGCCGCATTTTGCATTCACGTCACACATTCTTACGTACGTCGAGACTCCTGAGACTCTTTCCGCTACAGTGTTCAAATACTGCTAATTTTAATTTTTTATTCATTTCTGTAGCTTTCAGATTCTTTATAAGGAACATACACCACTATTATTGCCAGGAAAAAATTAGTACACATTTTAAAATAACACTGATAACGTCGTACTATTCTAAATCGGTGGTCATTTCGTGGCAAGACCGGAAATCATTTTGACCATGTGAGACACCAGGCAGCTGTTGAACCCGGCGAGTAGCTAAATCGTGTCATCTCAGCAAAGACTCTAGACTCTTAGTATCGCATATTTGCCAAGGGGGTACAATGTGGGATGTGTTAAAATCGGGACTCTCTGCTCTTCAGCTCCAGGTGCGAAAAGGAACAGACTGGCACATTCTGCCGGCAGATTCATACTGGCCTCCGGCCTGCTGTCCCGCTTAGGAGAAAACTGCTCACCGCTGGGCCTGCTCTGTGCACTCTTTCCCAAATTCACAACAAAACACAATCTTTACTCTTTCCTATTTAATCTTGCCTAAGTATCTACAAATATTTCATTTTGAAGCTGGCCTGTTGGCCTCATGGGACCTTCCCTGCTCCCCCTGAGGACCTGGGATAAAAGAAGGCCCATAAGATCCTCTGAATGTAAGACTACAAAATCAGGTGTAACAGGTCTGAGCAGGGGTGTGCCTGTGAGAGAGGAGCCTTTCAGGCCTGCAGGCTAACGCCCCGCCTGGGGCACTACCGTGCTTTAACAGAAAAAATGTGGTGGAGAGGAGGTTAGGGGGCAGGGGGTGGGGTCACTGGCCCTCTCAGGAAGCAGAAAGAAAAGAGAATCTGCAAGGCCAACATTCAACAGTCACTTGAATCCCCATCCACCCTCTGGGGACTTACTACTGAGGACAAGGGCCTGAGAGTGAGTCAGGCCCGGCTCCAGGCCCAGCTCTGCCAGTGATTATCAGACAGATCTTGAACACATGGTTTTTCTCCGGGCCTGTGTGTGTGTGTGTGTGTGTGTGTGTTGTGAAATTGTGGTGTTTGTGTCCTGAATCTGCGGTGTCGGTGCGCTGCAGAGGTCACGTGTGTATGTGGCATACGTGGGGTGAGCACGTGCTATCAATGTGTGTCCGCGCCTTCTGAGTTGCAAAGTTCGAACAATACCGTAAATGACAAGAAATGCTATGAACCTTAGCGTATCACAACGGCAAATCCGTCTAAAATTACAAAATCTGAAAGGGACGTTCTTTTACAGATAGCGGCCATAAGTCCCGCTGACATCTGCTATGAGGAAACTTTATCCACGTTAAGATACGCCGAAAGGTACGTTTGTGGATACGTAGTATCCCTAGGGGTTCTAAGTCAGATTCTTCTGGTACCCCTCTACGCAATGGGCTGGCAGTTGGGGGGAGAGGTCAGGAGAAGGCAGAACGGAATGATTTGTGAGAGAGAGAGGTGGGAGGAAATAAACAAAAGGAGACAGAACTGAGGACTCAGACCCTAATGTCACCCCTATTCTGCATGGGAGAGGCCCCGCGGGTTCCCATCGATGGGGGAAGCCTGGGGGCCGATCCCATGCTTGGAATCCTTCTTCCTGTATTTTCCTGCCACATAGCTGCCCATTCACGTGTTTCTCCCTTGTCACATGGCACACGGGTGGCGTGCGGGGGCAGGCAGGGGACGTTTATGCCAATAGGTGAAGACAAGCACGTGTGAGGCACTTCCCTGGGCTGTCGCCCAGCCTCCAGCTCCACGCTTTTCTTGGCTTTGGTCTCCTTTGCCCAGGCCCCGTGCACACGGGTTCTACTCTTGGGGTGGCCTGACGGTCTAGGCTCCTCTTTCCGGGGGCGGGGAGGGCTCTCCCTGCCAGCTTCCTTCCGTCCAGGGGGCCAGGGAGGCGAGCCTGCATACTCAGCCCCAGCACGAGGCTGCTGCCCCGACACATTCTAGGGATCTGGATCCTGCTTCTCCTGACCCTTTTTAAAAATTTTTTTAACTGTTTATTTATTATTTTTGAGAAAGAGACAGAGCACGAGCGGGGGAGAGGCAGAGAGAGAGAGAGAGGGAGACACAGAATCCGAAGCAGGCTCCGGGCTCCGAGCTGTCAGCACAGAGCCCGACGTGGGGCTCGAACTCACGAACCGCGAGACCGTGACCCGAGCCAAAGTCGGATACTTAACTGACTGAGCCACCCAGGTGCCTCTCTCTTGACCCTTTTAAAAAAGATAAGGGTGCAGGCAGAGGGGACCTCTAAGCAGGGTAAAAGCCACATGCTGCCACCACCCTTTCCCTTTCGTGTGGCAGAGTCCGGAATCCACCCTGAGGCCCACCTGCCGGGTTCGGACAGGAACCTGGAATCCTCGGGCCTGGTCCCAGGAAGCTGGAGCTGGTGTGTGAAATGAAACTGCCACCTACCGTGACACGTCCCTGGTCAGGTCTACGGGCTTGCGTGTGGGTCAGAATCTGGCCCCACCAGCCGTGTGACCTTGGGTGACACGCCGTACCTCCCTAGCCCTCAGCTCTGTCCCATGTCGAGGGAGGTGATTTCTCATCAGAGTTGGTGGGGGGAAGAACACAACAGATCCTGCACGAGCCCGTTCCCGGCAAGGTTCTGACACGTGCTGAATGCTCAGAGATGATGGCTGTCACTGCACCACCGAGCAGTGGTCTTCCCTTTGGCCCTGTCCCTGGCAGGGAGCCCTGGCATTTTAGGGACACGTGCCAGCGGCCTCTGCAACGGTGCAGCCTCCGTATCGTTTTACACCGTTAGATGTTTCTTTCAGCGTCTGCAGCACGAGCTCGGATCTTTCCGTCAGTTCGGTCTCTCTGCTTATCAGACGCAAATCTGTCACGAGCAGATTTCCCACTGAGAGACTACGGCTGCAGAGGAAGGAGAAAACAGTAGCCCAGAGTCCCGGGCTCTGAGCCTGGAGCTGCCATGGGCTGTGTGACCCCAGGGCAAACCCTGAAAACCCCATTTCCTCAACGAAAGGAGTAAGGCGGCGGCCACAGTTAGCAAATACAAAACACAGGCTCCCGGTTAAACCTGAATAGCAGGCGAAGAGCAAGTAAATAATGTGTCGGCAGAAGTATGCCCCATGCAGTGCTCGGGGGCATCTCGTGTTTTCTCTGGGACACTAGAAGGCAGGGAAACAGGTGACCCCTAGGTTCCCTTTCCAGCCCGGAACAGCTGCTGACAGCCTCCAGGGTGGGGTTACGCCTGTCAGCAACGACGCATAGATGTTTCCACTAGCGGAGTCGGCCGATGGGCGAGTGGGTTCAGGGCCCGGGTCGCGTCGGGGCCAGGCTGTGGGTCCGGCGGGGCTGGTCATGTTTATTTCAACCGTGGATGTCACTAAAGTCCCTTTCGGCCTTCACCGTTCACTGGCGCCCAGCCTGCTGGCATCTGGAGTCGCCTGGGCCGAAAGGTCCCACTTGGCTGGTTTCTGGCCTGTGCTCCCCAAAGGGGTCCGGGACTGAGTGCGTGTTCATCTTTGCACATGGAAGGGCTAAAAAGATCCGGAACAGAGCCGTGGTCAACACCTCGACGCTGATGAGAGAGTCAAAGGCAGAGAACGACAGAGCGCTGCTCGCACGCAGGAATTCCGGAATGGCAGGTAAACTGAGTCAGGAGCAATGCCGGTCCAGGCCAGCAGCAGGAAGGCTGGGAGTGGGATGGAGGGAGGGACCGGCTGCAGGCTCAGCCTGGGGCTCGGCGGGGAGGTGGGGAACCCCTGCTTGGAATCGCCGGAGCCTGGCACAGGCCAGGGGCACCCTCTGGGGACATTTAGGCCCCAGCCTCGGGAAAAAATACTTCATTTTGAGACAAATGCAGATTCACTTGCAGTTAAGTGGCCCCGCCCTTTTTGAATGATCATTTTAGTCTCATTTTTATCGCCATTTTTACTTTGAAGCCGTCGTTTCTGCCGAGGCCACTCCGTCCTTCCCAGGTTTGCATGGTGGCCATTTTGACATTCGCTGGGCTGATGGCCTCACACAGTTGCATGATGTTTGAATCTCCAGAGGCCTCAGAGGCAGCACATCAGAGTCACCTGGTGAGCGTCACCAGGCCCACTGACTGTGACTTCTGACTCCCCGGTGCCCCAGAACCACTGCTTTGAAGGAAGGCCTAGGATTTCAGTTTGGCAGCATGGAGGGAGGTGCCTACAACTTTGCGCCCGTTAATAACTTAAAACGGGATGAACAAGAAAAGGGCAAATTGTAAAACTGTCAAAGTAAAATTGGAGGAAGTGGTTTAAAGTGAAAAGAACAATGCCAGGAGGTCCAAACCTCTGGCGCTCAGGGCTGGTTCAGGGAGCGTGAGCTCCAGTCACCAAGCGGCCCGGCCCCCGTGCCCCCCGCCAGCTGGGCTCCCTCGTTCCAGAGGGGCTCTCGGGTACTGGCAGCACGTCCCGCCCCAAACCAGGTTGCCCGGTGGGGACAGAGGCTCTGTGGGCACCCCTGCAGGCTCCCGCATCCCAACTCGCTGGGACTTCACAACAAAGCCCTTCCCATGTGAGAGGCAGCGCCTGCGGCCCGTCCAGGTATGGTGGCCTCGCTTAGCCCCAAAGTTCGTGTCATCGTGAGCTGGACGGATGTAAGCATCGAATGCCCGCCGTGCGTAATAAGCGCAGACACAAAATATGTTCACGAGCCTGTGATGCTGTGAGTCCCCTGGCCTTGTAGGAATGCCCGGTAACTGGGGTATAAAACAGAACACTCTCACGTGCCCGCACAACCAAACAGAAAGTACGGAGCGTCGTGCCTCCTCCCCTAAAAGGCCTTCTTGCTCTACGTTCTGATGCATTAAAACGACAGCACCCTCTGTAGAAACGACCGGGTGACTTCTTCAACCGTGAGCGCAGCTCAGTTTCCCGCTCCGCCCAGCATCCCCGGCTTCGGCTGAGAACAGAGACAACCTGACTCTTCTATCATAGTTATTCTATAGTCTTCTATAGAATTCTATAGTTATTCTATAGAAGACTATAGTTATTCTGTAGTCTTCTATTATAGTTATTCTGCTCCTCACCCTCGACACAGCAGACCCGCTGCTTAAGCCCCTTCCTTCCTTCCAGAGCAGCCGGCCCGCCCACTGGCAGAAGCCGGGCCCTGGGCGCGCCAGCTGGAGCAGGCTCGGGAAGAGTGGCGACAGCACCACGTGGCCATGGCCAAGGTGAGCTTCCTTCCGTCCACCTGCCGAGGCCCACACCTGGCAGGGAGCCTCACACTCTTCCCACGTGTGCACGGCCGCCTGGGCTGCCGTCCAGTGGATCATCGGGGTGGCTCCCCCCCCCCCCCCGGAGAATGTGTAACACGTGAGACGCGGCATGTGATTAAGTGACAAATGACTTCTGCCGATGCCGCTGGCGGCGCTAGGGGAGAGGAGGGCGGGGTGGGAGGGGGAAGGAAGCCGAGAGGCCTTGATGAGTCAAGGCTGCTGATAATTACAGTTTGGGGAGAATTCGAGGACTGTGCACCATCTTCCGGGGACCGCACGGCGTGACCCTGAACCGTAGTATCTGCCGGAGCATACGTGAGCTGTGATGCGAGTTTTGTACTCGGGTCGGGGAGATGCCCTCTGGGCTCCCCATCCACAGCGCCCTCCCGCCATGACCTGACTCCCCAAAGCCACAGCTCTGCACAGACCCCAAGTCGTGGGCCAGCCTTGGAGCACTTCCGGAGTGGAGGCAGAGGCCCAGACTGGCTCCCGAAGGGCTCGGGAAGCCTGAAATGGAAGTGAGCCTCAGGCGGGGGGAGCGCAGTGGGGCCAGGGGCCTGTGACACCAGGAGGCCAGGACGAGTTAGGGTCCAAGGACTCTAGAAGTAAGGACAGGAGCAACGGAAAAGACTCTTATCTCCCTTACTCGTTATCAGAATTTCAAAACTGAAAAGCTTTCTTGTGCTTGAACAATTTACTCCAGTTCTGATCGGCAGTCAATCCTCTATAAGTTCAAGACCACTAATACCAGGTTGAGGGATGAGACACGCTCGGGTAACCCAGAGAGGGTATACGGCACGTGCCACATTTGATCACCAACATCGGATCACCAGTGAGCTAGCCTGCAGGACCTGAGCTAGTGAGCTAGTCTGGGGGAGCCTGTGATGTAGGGTAGCGGGTTTAGTGGGAAGGGGGACCCAGGTGAGGCACCCGATGGGGCACCAGGACAGCTGGGATGCGGGGGGACCTGAAGAAAAGAGTGGGGTAGAAGTCAGGGTAGAAGGGGGGACAGAGACGGAAACTGGCCGTGCTTTGCAACAGTCCCGTCCAGATGAGCTCAGGCCCCTCGGCTGACCTGCCGCGGGTGGGGTCTCACCCGCGCTGTGAGCAGGGCCTCCCGTCCCAGTCCCACTGGGCTTTCCTGAACGATCTGACAGGACGCACAGACAAGTGGCTTTGGTAGGACATGGATAGGAAAGGAATGCTACTGCCTTGAACGTGCTGGCCCTGTGTGGTGACAGGACTCCCGTCTCTCCCCCAGGAGCAGTGGATAATGAAGACCTTCCCTCACCTTCTCAACGTCAACGAGGACCCGCAGCTCACAGGGGTCCTCAAGTATTTCATTCAGGCTGGTACTCACCCCTCCCGACCCACGCTGGACCTGCTCAGGCTTCTTGCTTTGTGTTTCTTTCTCTTTTGAATCTTTCTTTTTGCGGTAAATAGGTGGAACATAAAATTCACCATCCTAGCTTTTTTTAAAAAAAATTTTTTTAAATGTTTATTCGTCCCTGAGAGAGAGACAGACAAAGCATGAGCAGGGGAGGGGAAGAAATCGAGGGAGACACAGAACCCGAAGCAGGCTCCAGGCTCTGAGCTGTCAGCCCAGAGCCCGACATGGGGCTCGAACTCACGGACCGTGAGATCGTGACCTGAGCCGAAGACAGATGCTCAGCCGGCTGAGCCACCCAGGTGCCCCACCATGCTAGCTATTTTTAAGTAGACGGTTCAGGGCCATCAGCACATTCACACTGTGGTGCCACCATCACCCCCACCCAATCCCGGAACCTTTCCTTCTTCCCAAACCGACATCCGTCCCCATTCAACACCGGCTCCCCCAGCCCCAGGCACCCTCCGTTCCACTTCTGTCCTACCTCCTGTCTCTACAAATGTAACTACTCTAGGCACCCCGCATCATTGGAGTCACGCGGTATTTGTCCTTCTGTGACTAGCATATCTCACTCAGCATAGTATCCTCAAGGCCCATCTATGTTGTCAGCAGGTGTCAGAATATCCTTCTTATTTCAAGTTTATTTTATTTGAGAGAGAGTGAGCGAGCACAAGTGGAGCAGAGAGAGGGAGAGAGAGAAAATCCCAAGCAGGTTCCGCCCTCTAAGCACAGAGCCTGACGTGAGGCTTGAGCTCATCAACTGTGACATCATGACCTGAGCCGAAACCAAGAGCTGGATGCTTAACCGACGGAGCCACCCAGGCGCCCCAGAATTTCCTTCCTCTTTAAGACTGAATAATATTCCATTATATGCGTATACCACATTTTGTTTATCTATTCAGTTGTTGGAAAACAGCATCTGTATTGTAGTAACACGAGGCTTTCCGCACCCCGGCCCTGGGCACACCCGGACAGGAGAGGGCTTGCACTGGATGCAGGTAGGGCCCGGGTGTGGGGTGGCCCCCGGGGGGAGCCGGCGTGGTGCTCTCGGTGCTGTCCGGGTCCGTCACTGCACAGACCAGGACCTTCCCTGTGGCCGGGCTGCAGCATATCTCCTAAGCCCCGGACTCGACAGTTTCTTCCTCCAGAATCCCCACGAGTAAGGTGGAACTTGTAAAAAGTTAGGCAGCCCACAAAAAAAGGGCAGAAAGTAAAACAATCATCCGTAAGGCCGGGTGGCGTCCAGGTACTTACGACTGAAAATCCTAGCAGCAAAATCCCTTCACACGATCCTCTTGGAGAGGTAACGGCCCTACCCAAGCATCAGACACGTTCGCTTGTTAAGGTCAATCCTGACAAAGTTTGAAAAGAAATTATCCTAATTCTTTTCAAGGCTCATGTGATGCCGGTCGGGCCGCTTCAAACGCCATCCACCTTCAAGGTTTGGGGTAAGTTGACGTGAACCGTCTTCGTCCAAGAATTGTGACCACTCATTCCGCGGGAGGTTCTCAACATTTGTCTGGGCCTCGCCGGGTGGGGCCACAAACCCTGCAGGACAAATTCCCAGGCCGTCCTCAGGGACCCGCTCGGGGCTTCTGGAAGGAAGGGCTTTCCTGCTCCCACTGAAATCCTTCCCACCGCACTCACTTTGCTTCCTGGGCTCTG